CCTCTAAATGTCTGCTAGTGTATAGGACCAAGATTTTTTCCGGGATATTAATTCTCAGATGGGGGTAATTATTTTACTCCCACCCAACCAATCCAGGAGACATTTGGCAATGTCTGGGGACATTTTTATTATTATATCTGGGGAGTGCTACTGGCATTAAGTGGGAGGATACTGCTAAACATCCTACAATGCTCAAATTATCCAAATAATTTGGATAATTTGGATAAAATATCCAGAATAGCCCAAATTATCCAGCCTAAAATGTTAATAGTGCATCCTGCAGAAAGATGGGCTAAAAAAAGAGAAAAAAATGTTAATAGTGTGAAGGTTCAGAAACTCTGTTCTAAGAGAGTGGTTCACAAAGCATCAGCATCCCCTAGAAACTTGTTAGAAATCTCTAAGATATATACATATATAGGAGTGGAATTGTTAGTTATAAAATAGGCAGGTAGTCACATTAATAAGATCATGCCAACTTGCCCATTTTACTGTGGGGTTGTGTTTCTCTTTCTTTATATATTTTGTTTACATGTTCTTTTTGTTGATTATTGAAAAAGTGGAAAAAAGAGCAGCCCCTGACATTCAGAAGCTAACCTGGAAAGCACAGCTCGGCCATGATGTTATTCCATTGGGTATAAACAATCTCACAGAATACCAACCTGAAGCAAGACTACTCTGAGACCACAATAAACTAAGATAAAACAAAGCCACTTTAGAATATTGTCTAAGCACAAAAATCAAGGTCAGTGTGCTACCCTTAATATAACAGACATCCCTCTTCTGAATAAAATGAGCAACATCCATTTCTTTACCAAACCATCAAGTAGGGGAGGAAAAAAATATCTTTTCTTTCTGCCCTTCTAAGTTCTTGCCAGGGCCCCTGTAACATAAGACAGATTAACAAGAGAAAAGCTTACACATTAATTTAATGTAATTTTTACATGACATGGGAGCCTTCATAAAGAATGAGGAACTATAGAAATGGTTAAACCTGAGCATTTTAATGCTAGGTTTGATAAACAGTGGAAAGTCATGGAAAAATGTGATAGGTCAATGGGTATGAGCTCTGTGTGGTAATTGGGGAAAACTTAGCAAACCTTGTTCGTTCAGATTCCTCTCCTTACTTGGAAATAAGTCAGCTCTTTTCCTTGGGGTATAAGCAGGATTCTTCTCACATGAGGGTCTTGCGACCTGCTTCAGAGAGGAAGGGGTGGGGCAGGGGGAGGTCAGAGAGTCCTTCTTTAATTCCTTCAGCTTAAAATATTCAATATACCGAGGTGTCAAATTTTGGAGCAGCATGTCCTGAAACCCATCAACAGAATTACCCTTGCCTTCTGAAAGCACTCAGTCTAGAGGGAATCAAACCAAACCTTCCCCCAAATTCTAACACCCTCTTACTGAGAAACCCCATGGTGTGTGTTCTCTCATGCTCAGTGAATAATTAACTCAACTTGTTCAGGTATATATATCTGAGTATATATATTTCAGATATCTTAGCATTCTTTATTGTATCTTTTGGTAAGTACCAGTTCTTAATTTTAGTTCAAGTTTTCAATCTTTTTGGTTAGTCATATTTTCCCTTTTTTAAAGGGACTATAGAAAAAGTAAATTAAAAAACAACTTTTTAAAAAATTTTTTGCAGAGACAGGGTCCTGCTATGTTGCTTAGGCTGATCTCTAAGTCTTGGCCTCAAGCAATCCTCCCACCTCAGCCTCCAAAAGTTCTGACATTATAAGTGTGAGCCACTGAGCCTGGCCCAATTAGTGCTTGTTATGTCATATTTAAGAAATCCTTTATTACTCCAAGATCATATGAATATTATTTTTTTGTTTCAAATTTTTATGTCTTTGGTTCAGCTGAAATTCATTTTTGTGTGTGACACCATACATGTGTAGAGATCCAATCTCATTTTTTCCATATGGTAACCATTTCTCCCAGCACTATGTATTCAATAGTCTTTCCATTCTTTGCATTTCCCCACTTCAGTGCAGAACCACTTTTGCCATATATCAAATTTCTATCTATCCATGAGTGAGACTAGACCTGTTTGTTTTTTGAAAATCTAGTAAGAAATATAGTTCAAGACTTTAAGATTGAGTTATTTTCAAGGCTTGTGACACACTGTTTAGGGAAGTATCTAAGTCATAAAAAATATATAAAAATTAATGATGCTTTAAATTGGTATCAGTTGATGTAATGATTCATAATAAAACTTGTCAAGTTTTTGTTAAGGTATAATTCATTCAGAGAGTATAAAAGTTTAGTAAGATCATGGTAGTCAGGAGAATAATTTCACTGCAGAAGTATGTATGTGTTTAGCAATGTGATTGCTAACAGATTTTCCAAAAACATCAAGTATCCTTTTATTATCTTCCATACATACATTATCTCACTTATATTTTTATATAGTGGGAAAAACTAGACTTTAAAATGTTATATGAAAAGAATGCATAACTCAGTCTTTTGAAGACACATGAGAGTTTGAAATGAATGGTAAAAGCTGGAATAGAACAAAAGGGGGAAAATGCCAAAGGCAATATAAAATTTAAAAAAGAATGAATCTGTAGGATTCATAGGTTTCTTAGCTTAGAGGGACAAGAGCTAAAATGACTTGCAGTATTCAAAGTTACCAGATGCTTGAGATGATGAACTTCTAAGGCAGTGAGGGTACCCTGTTTGGGGGAAAAGATGCCATTCCTAAACTTTCCTCAAAGACTTTCTCAGGAGCTTTGACATTTATGTGAATGGTCTCCAAAAGTAAAAGTTTAAAACCCAAATCCCTAGATGGTAAATAACTTGTAGGTACTTAAATATGTTTTTCTTTTTTTTATGCTCCCTTCTCTTTTTCTTTTTTTTTCTTTTTACTTAAATATCATATACATCTACTGCGCCAGCATCATAATCCAGTAATTTATAAACTAGGTGTACAGAAAGCAGCCCAGTCCAAAAACATTAGAATGAGAGTTAAGAAATCAGGATTTTAATCATGGTTCTGCCACTAATCTGCGTGCATGAGTCTCAGATTCCTTAAATATGTAGGATTAGACTACATGATCAAGTTTCTTTCACTGTTAAAGTTCAGAGTCTACTTAAGCAATTGTGAAATGTATCAGTGTAAATCCAATTTATCCTACTATTGATTTGTAGTAAAGCATTTGTCAGGTGAGTCATAGGGTCTGTTAACTTACAAATCACACAATTTATAAATTTTGAAAGAAGAGCTTTATTTCTTATAAAGGGTTTCAGCCTGCAAGATGGCCATTCTGACTGGCTGGGAAGCATAACCTCTGGCAGAGCCTGGAAACAGGTACTTTGATGGAGGGAAACAGGGATTTATGCTGAATAGGTTGGCCAGTATACATATTCAACAGGTTCATATTCATATTTAACAGGAGCTATGAATATTCATGCTGGTAGTCCTGATAAATGCATATTGAACAAACATGCATGATATGTACTATCCATGTTCACCCTGGGGTGGAGACTTAGCATTTAAATGTATTACAATCAGGCCCTCCATGTCCAAAGGTCTTTTCAGGACATAAGGCACTCTGGTGCACAGCCTCTGTAAACCGGCCAGAACCAGTCATGGTCAGTGGTCTCTTATCAGGAGAAAGTTGTTAATATCAGTCTCTTGTCCCGTTAAAACTCTAGTTATGGCTTGTGGAACAGGGGGTCAGTTACTCTGACAATGCACTGCAATTGTTTTAATATCGCTTATGTCAAGGCCAATGCTTGTTTAGCTGCTAGAGAAAAAGAAAAACCTTGTGGCAGTGAGAACATAGTTTATTCGTTAAGTGTACAGGTGCATGACTTAACCCTTACCTGGCATGGCCTTAGGTCCTACTTATAATTTGGTATCTTATTGTCACAAAGAGTCTGGTCTTTCAGTCTTAAGATCTCAATTTTAACATTAACGCTGGTCAGTTGTGTCTAGACTGCAAAAGGAAGAAGGTATAGGGAGGTGTGTCTGACCTCCCATCCTGTCATGGACAGGAACTCAGTTTTTAAGGATTCTCTGGGGTCCCCTTGGCCAAGAGGGGGTCCATTCAGTTGATTGGGGAGGCTTAGGATTTTATTTTTAGTTTACAGGGTTTCTCCCTAGTCCTCAAACCCTGGAGCAAAACCCACCGAGGTGTTTTTGGCAGCCTAACTGTTGATAGGATTTGAAGGGCTACAGTAGTGTAGACAAACTCCCAGTATGCCTTGTGAACAACAGTTCTCTGAACAAGAATTCAGAGGCAGGAGGCTTTATTCCACTGAACAGTTTCCAAACCAGGGAGACCCAGCCAGGGGTGTAAAACAAAGATATGTTCCAGAGAACAAAGGGTGAGTTCAGGTTTTATAGCAAAAGTTCCTGCCCAGGTTATGATCAAAACTCACTTAGTTATGACTGTTTGAGGCAGGTGAGCTCTGCAAGTCTCAAAGTTGAACGGAAGTGTGGGTTTTTGGGGAACTCAGAGTACATGTGTGACCTCTAGTCAGCAAATGGCCCTTTTGCTTTATTTTAAATTTAGACTCAGTTAGCCAACCAGGATCCATCTTGAAGGGTTGGCTTTCAGGTTCATTATTTGTTCACAGTCTGTATGAGGAGGAAATTTCTAAAATAGGAACATCAAATGTTGCTAATTCTTTAATAGCTTCTCTCAGAACAAACTAACTCAAGCCCAGTGCTCCAGTGGCACGCGGGAGTTGCACCTGCTCCTTGTGGGGTACGCTTTCTTGTGCCTTAAGCCCGCATCCCTTCTTCCCACCTCGGGCAAGAAGCACTTTTCTTTCTTAACCGGAAGACATGGGTCTACTTCGCTCAGACTCTGAGGAAGAAAGTAACCCCCAAGAAGAGGAATCACAACCTTGCCTAGGCGGCTAGATAGTCATGAACCGAGTCTGCTAGGTGGTGACAAGGGCGCGCCCGGAGCACTCTGGGAACGCGGAGCTCCACGGCCCGGCCTGGCCTGACCCGGAAGGGCTGGCGCTGGTGACCCCAGCTTCCCTAGCAACCAAGCCGGCGAGAGCAGCAACCCGCCGCGCCGTCCGCTTGTGCAGCTCCAGGGATGCCACTGCAGGTGAGCGATTACAGCTGGCAGCAGACGAAGACTGAGGTCTTCCTCTCTTTGCCCCTCAAAGGGGTGTGCGTCAGAGACGCGGACGTGTTCTGCACGGAAAACTATCTGAAGGTAGGAACGCGAGGCTTGCCCGCCGGGGCTGGGGGGCGTGGTCCGAAACTTCTGGGAGATCGCGGCAGAGCTCTCGCAACACAGGCGTCCTTGCAGATAAGCGCCCTAAAGTTTTAATCGTGTTTTCAAAAAAAAAAAAAAAAAAAAAACCCAAATCCCATACGGGAGACATCTCATCTGTAGACAGATCATCAGGTCAGAGATTATTTTTATCCAGAGCTTCCTTATATGCCTTTCTAATCTTTCGCTACATGTAGTGAACCTTTTCGAAAATTACTCATAATTTTTCATAAATGTAGTGAGCCTTTTCGAAAATTATTTTGGCCTGTATCACACATTTCTTAATACGTGTATCTAACTTAGTTTCCGTTTTCACCCTTCTGAATAGGTCAACTTCCCTCCATTTTTGTTTGAGGCATTTCTCTACGCTCCCATAGACGATGCGAGCAGCAAAGCAAAGATTGGGAATGACACTGTTGTCTTCACCTTGTATAAAAAGGAAGCAGCCATGTGGGAGACTCTTTCTCTGACAGGTGGTAAGTTCGTTATTAAAAGATGTTCATCTGGTTGTGCTTTTTGTGTTTCAGACCTTTTTAAAAAAATTCTCTTTTGAAACGACTGTACTGTGTAGGGAAAGATAGACTTTCCATTTACTCTCCTAGGTTCAATAGTTAGGTCTATGAAATAAACTAACATTAGGTAGAATAACAGGAAAATGTATGCAAATTTATTAATTTTTAATATTAGTGCTTGGAGGTTTCACAGGAAAAAAAAGTGAATATCCTAAAAAACAGTGCAATTTGAGAGCATATAGATCCTCCTAATAGAAGAGGTATGTGTGTAGGCCACTTAGGATACTAAATGATTTTTAGGAAAGATCAATGGGTCCTTAGAAGAATAGATACTGTGTTTCCCTGAAAATAAGACAGGCTCTTATATTTATTTTTCCTCAAGAAGACACCCTAAGGCTTATTTTCAGAGGATGTGTTTGTTTTTTTTTTAAGTACTGTACAATCTACATTTATTCAAATAGAGTTAAGTCCTCTTCTCCTGAACATCATCATAATTCTCCAAACCCCAAATTCCATCCTGAATTTCTTGTGACTCTATTTCCTTTAGAACCATTGGCCCCAATCTCTCATGTCGAGCAATAGAGCTCTTATGGGGCAGATAGGAAGGGCTGCTTGTCTTCTTTACCGCTCCATGACGAAATGCATGGGTTGTGCAGATATGCTGCATAGCCACGCCCATCACTAGGTCTTATTTTAGGGGTAGGGCTTATATGGCGCAAATGCTTAGAAATCCTGGTAGGCCTCATTTTATGGGTAGGTCTGATTTTCTGTGAATCAGGGTAGGAGACATGATAGTTTGTAACAAAGTGTTTCAGAGTGTGGTGTCAACCTCTGGTCCCCTTTCCTGTGGTTAGAGTCAATATTCCCTGGTTAGTGAAACTCCAGGGGAAGGGATTTATGACAGTTGAGTTCCATTTAGAAAATCTGTGTTTAGGCAGATAAAAGGAGTTCAGAAAATGCCTCTACCTGCATTTGCTGTTTTTCAAATGCCTTCAGCTCAAAATAATCAATATATCAAAGCAGCATATTTGGGGGTGGCATGTCCTGAACTCCTTCAGTTGTTCTTATAGGAAAAAAATAGGCACATGAACTTCATTTAAATGAGATAGTGCTTCAGCTGTCAAATAAATAAGCCTAAAGATTGAATTCTTCGGCTGGGAGCAGTGGCTCACGCCTGTAATCCTAGCACTCTGGGAGGCCAAGGTGGGTGGATTGCTCAAGGTCAGGAGTTCCAAACCAGCCTGAGCAAGAGCGAGACCCTCGTCTCTACTATAAGTAGAAAGAAAGTAATTGGCCAACTAATACACACACACACACACACACACACACAACATTAGCCGGGCATGGTGGCGCATGCCTGTAGTCCCAGCTACTTGAGAGGCCGAGGCAGTAGGATTGCTTGAGGCCAGGAATTTGAAGTTGCTGTGAGCTGGGCTGACGCCACAGCACTCACTCTAGCCTGAGCAACAAAGCGAGACTCTGTCTCAAAAAAAAAAAGATTGAATTCTTCAAAGTTAGAGAACATTTAGCAAAAGATGTAAGCTCGTATCTTAGGCAATGAGCTCTCTTGATGTAGCCCTGATGTAGCCTTTATTGAGAACTTAACTTTGTATTAGGTATTAACATATCTGTTAATCCTTTAAAACAACCTATTAGGTATTATTAACCCCTTCCCCTGCTTTTTTAAAGGTCAAATAGTTGGCAAAGGTCACATACCTAGTAACTGGCAGACTGGAACTGAAGTCTTAGCAGTTTCACTCTAGAGCAGTGGTTCTTAACTCTGGCTACATAATTGAATCACCTATGGAAGTTTAAAATAATACAGATGCCCAGACCAATCAAATCAGTTTCTGGAGGTAGGACCCAGGTGTTGGTAGTTTTCAAAAAACTTTCCAGGGCTTATAATATGCTGCTGAAGTTAAAATCCCCTGTTTTAAAGCTAGTTCTCCGTACTCTTAATCAGTACTCTATTCTGCTACCAATATCAGATTTGTGGGTCAGTAATTGTCTTCTACTGCTTTAACTCTATTTTCCCCCTTCCTTTTCTAGTTGTCATGTTTTCTAATACTTTATATTTACTGCCTGGAACTTCTCTTAGGCCTCTAGCATTAAGCTGTGAATATGGAATGGAAGGAATTGCAACCATTCTTCATAGTAAGGCTTTTTTGATATGTTGCAGTGGAATTTAATTTATAATCTCCAGGACCAGGGCTAAGGTAGAATTTCTAAGTTCTGGTATTCAGTTGGGAGAATACTGGTTAAGGTAGGTTAACATAGCCAGGTTACTTTATTTCCTTAGTGAGTCTCAGACTACGTAAGGAGTTTTTAAGCATCAAATTCCTCTTCTCTTACCCCTGCCTTCCTTTTTGACTCAGTCAGTGTGTGATGACACTCACTGAGTGTCGTAAAACACACCCAAACTGTTCAGACTTTTTTTTTTATCTAAGATTAAATGCCAACACTTTCATTTATTTTGATTCTTGTTGATAATCTTAATTGTGAAGTTAGATGAGACTAGGTTCTAGAACCACTATGTATTATAATAGTTTAATTAAACAGGTGGGAGCGAGGTTGGGGAAGGGAACTCAACTCCTCAGGTGATTCTGATGACCAGTTAGGTTTGAGAACCATGAACTTAGATGTTTGTATGTGTGTTTCTTGCTCCCCTGGTGGCCAACAAATTTCTCCAGAAAGTGTTTTGTCCACTGTCTTTTGGGATATAAAGAAGGATCATATCAAAAAACCTATGAACTTTTCCACAACATATTTTCTGAAACATTTTCTTCTATGTCAGATTCCCTTCTTAACCTGGTGGCCACCTTACCCAGGACTGGAAAGGAATTTTCTTTCCTAATAAAGATCTGTTTTGCACATCTGCTTTCATTGAAAAGCTACTTGATTCTCCACTTTCATTATTATTTGGGCAGCCATTCCAAATTTTGGCCACTTAAACCAAGGATTGCCAAACTTTCTGTAAAGGAAGTATTTTATACTTTGCAAGCCATATGGTCTCAGTCACATCTATTCAGCTCTGCTATTGCAGCACAAAAGCAGCTGTAAATTATGGTATTTATGGACACTGAAATTTGAATTTCATCTAATTTTTATGTCACAAGATAATCTTTTGATTTTTTTCTTGGCCATTTAAAAATATAAAATTATTCATAGCTTATGGGCTATGGGAAAACAGGCAGCAGGTTGGATTTGGCCCATGGGCCATAGTTTTCCAACCTCTGATTTAGACTAATCAAAACAGTCTTAAAACTATTAATAACTTATATAATAACTAACATTGATTCTACTTAAGAAACCAAGTTTGAGGCCTGGCATGGTTGCTCACGCCTGTAATCCTAGCACTCTGGGAGGCCGAGGCGGGTGGATCGCTCAAGGTCAAGAGTTTGAAACCAGCCTGAGAGAGACCCCGCCTCTACTAAAAATATAAAGAAACTAATTGACCAACTAAAAATATATATATATAAAAAATTAGCCGAGCATGGTGGAACGTGCCTGTAGTCCCAGCTACTTGGGAGGCTGAGGCAGTAGGATCACTTGAGCCCAGGAATTTGAGGTTGCTGTGACCTAGGCTGATGCCACGGCACTCACTCTAGCCTGGGCAACAAAGTGAGACTCTGTCTCAAAAAAAAAAAAAAAAATTTTGAGATTCCTTTAGAAATCAAACTCAGGTTTACTTGCAATTCACTGTAATTATTTATTTATTTAACAATCTTTTATCCACATAAAGTATTGTGGAACTCCAATCTTTACTGCAGAAGCTTGTCTGCCTCATTATTCAAAACACATTTGCTCCATCAGTTTTTCCTGAAGTTCCTTCTTGATACACTCTTTTTTTTCTTTTTTTTGAGACAGAGTCTCGCTTTGTTGCCCAGGCTAGAGTGAGTGCCATGGCGTCAGCCTAGCTCACAGCAACCTCAGACTCCTGGGCTCTAGCAATCCTGCTGCCTCAGCCTCCCGAGTAGCTGGGACTACAGGCATGTGCCACCATGCCCGGCTAATTTTTTCTATATATGTATTAGTTGTCCAGTTAATTTCTTTCTATTTATAGTGGAGACAGGGTCTCACTGTTGCTCAGGCTGGTTTCGAACTCCTGACGTTGAGCAATCCGCCCGCCTCGGCCTCCCAGATGCTAGGATTACAGGCGTGAGCCACTGCACCCGGCCTTGATACACTCTTTATTAGTTGTGAAGCATTTTTTTTTTTTCAAAGTTGATGTTCTTGTCATTGTTTCTGCCCCTGAAACTGATCCAACTGTCTGCCTTCCTTTTTCTAAACAGGAAGAGGGTGTGGAGAGTCTTCAGACCTATTTCAGTCCTAATTCTTAGCCAAGGTCTTGGATGAATAATATTTACCTCTAACTGAAATTTAACATTCTCTTCAATTACGAATGCAGGCAATAAACAATAGTAGTGTCTTTGTCTGTTTGGACTGCTGTAACAAAATATCATAAACTGGGGAGGTTATAAATAAATTTATTTCTCCCAGTTCTGTAGGCTGGGAAGTCCAAGATCAAGGTGCTGGAAGATATGGTGTCTGGTGAGGGCCCAGTTTCTCATAAATGGCACCTTCTCTCTGTGTCCTTTACAAGGTGGAAGGGGCAAGTCAGTTGTCTGGGGCCTCCTTTATAAGGACACCTACCTCCCTACCTCCCTCACCTCCAAATGCCATCACATTAGTGTTTACTATTTTAATATATGAATTTTGGGGGATAGAAACATTCAGACCACAGTAAGTAGTATCAGCAAAAATCACAAATATGTTCATTTCATAGATAGGTCCTTTTTATTCAGTGCTACTTTGAAATTACAATATTTGTTAGACTTTTAGCTATATAATTCATTAATAAAGAAACATAGTACATCACAATTTTAATTTTTAATATTTCATAAACATTTTAAAATAACTGAGTTTCTTTGTAATCCTGTATATTTTATTTTATACATTTTAAAATATTATGGAGTCCATAAGGCTTTTCTACACTGCCAAGAGGTCTGCTATATAAAAAAGGTTAACAGCCCATGCCTAGGGCATGATTCATGCCTCCACCCAACCCTTCAGTCTGTTCTCTGCCACTTCACCCAAACTCCACCCCAAGTTTTCTTCTCTCCCCTTAAGTTTTTTCCTGCTTAAAGGCTAAATCCCTTCTCTCAGGGCTTGATCCTTCCTTCTCTAAGATAATGCACCTACTAATGGATCACAGCCTGCAGTTTGTAGAACACTGAGCCACACTGAATATAAAAATTGTGAATGGTAAAGTTCTATGTATATAACATGTCATTTTCCTTTACAATCTTTCCTAGGACTGACCCTGTGCCCCTCCATATGTATAAATTACCACTTTATGTTTGTGAAGATGACTGATCATTTCAGGTCATTTCAACCTATCTTCTCTTCTAGGAGACTCCATAGTGGTTGTTTATTGTGATCAAGTTTATAAGAAAACAGCCCTAGTTTCTCAACAGAGAGGGAAGAAGATAAATGCGTTCTCACCGCCCCCATCCTCACCCTCTCCTTCTCATTCCCCTCTTCCCTCTCATTTCCTCCCCCTTATGTCCCTCCCCATCCCTTTGTCTTTCTCCTCCCCCTCTACCTATTCTGTAGTAATTCATTATTATTATAGTTAATTGCTTACCTTTTAATGTTAGCTTCTTGGCCAGTTTAATATTAAAAAATGTTTTCACTTCTTATGGTCAAAAGAATCTCATTCTTGATCGGTATGTTAAGTAGTTTTCTCATAAGTAAAAAACCAAATTTATCATAATCCTAATTGAGCAGTATTCCTTACATTTTAGTTGACAAAGAGATGCTGCAAAAAATAAGAGAGAAATCTATTTTACAAGCACAAGAGAGAGCAAAAGAAGCCATAGAAGCAAAAGCTGCAGCAAAGCGGGAAGATCAAAAATATGCGCTAGATGCCATGATGAAGGTAAGTTGTAGGTTAATAGGCAAGTCCTCTAAAGAGATAATAGTAAACTATTAGTTACAACCACTGTACTTCCTCAGCATTTTGTTTTATGTTATATAGGTTATGTGTTACTTACATGTGCTTTTGAAAATCTGTGTGAAATTTCAGGGTATAAAAGTTGTTTCAGGGAGAGGGTTCTATTTCTAGAGAAGTAAAAATCATAAAGTTTTATGATACAAGCATTTTACTTTTTAAATCTTGCAATAATTGACATGATTGTTTAAAACAAGAAAAGTATAGGTTAAACACTAAATATTAACAAATTAATTTCTTTTTAACTGTTGGGGCATTCAAGTGGAAGCATTAATCAGCAATATTTTTTTGAGATATAATTCACATACCATACAATTTATCCATTTAAAGTGTAAAATTCCATGGTTTTTAGTGTATTCTGTGTTGTGTAACCATATCAGAGTCAATTTTAGAACAATTTTCATCACCTCAAAAAGAAACTCAATACCCATTAACCCACTCCCATTTCCCCCTCACCCCTAGCTCTAGGCAACTACTAATCTACTTTCTGTCTCAATAGATTTAACTGTTTTGATTTATTTTTACAAGTAATTTCTCATCTCAAATTCTCATTTTGACATCTTGAAATGATTAAATAGTCTATCATGGCTGGGCGCGGTGGTCACGCCTGTAATCCTAGCACTCTGGGAGGCCGAGGCCAGTGGATTGCTTTAGGTAAGGAGTTCGAAACCAACCTGAGCAAGAGAGATCCCGTCTCTACTATAAATAGAAACAAATAATTGGCAACCTAATATATATAGAAAAAATTAGCTGGGCATGATGGCGCATGTCCGTAGTCCCAGTACTTGGGAGGCTGAGGCAGGAGGATTGCTTGAGCCCAGGAGTTTGAGGTTGCTGTGAGCTAGGCTGACGCCATGGCACGCACTCTAGCCTGGGCAACAAATCGAGACTCTGTCTCAAAAAAAAAAAAGTCTATCGTAATTTATTGTCTTATTCTATGGACCCATGACTCTTCTTTTGCATTTGAATCATCAGTTTTTTATAATGAATGGTTCAATGATTTCAAAGATTTCTCTACTTTTATCATTTCTGCTTGACTTTTAAATAAAGCTTATGTCTTTAACTTAGTAATTGAACACATGGTCAGCTAGCCCAAGATTTCTGCCTTTAGTATACTTGATTCCATCTTTTCTTTTGATCTTATTATTTTCTTCAGTTTATAAAAACCAAAATAATTAAGATTGTGAATAACACATAAGTATTTACTGAATAATAATAAATAAAATAATATCACATAATTTGTCAATATGACAAAGCAGAACAATTGGTGACAGGAAGCACCACCAGCTATATCTTGGAGTTATTAATCTACTGATGTATGGAAGCTTGACTTGGTATTGGAAAGGTGTTTAAGGGAATTAATGTATAAAATATAAAGATGTGGATTATAATAAGGAGACAGAACCATGAAAGCTGTAGCCTTTCTACAAACTGTTTGTCTCCACTTGAGTAGTGTTGAAAGCCGGACTGTTTTCTTCTATCCTTTATTATATTGTCAGTAAATATGTGCTAAAATATTTGAATGAATTAATATGATATCATTCATCTAGTACCATATGCCCATAGCAAAAATCTACTTTGGTGGCTAACTGAAATTATTTTTACTCTGCCAATCTTAGATACCTTTCAAAAAAACTATAATGATCAGTAGAGCAGATGAAGAGCTATGACAACAAAGCCAACTATTATTAGCTAAAACCTAAATTAGCTAAAACTGGAATGACATCTGCCAAAATTAGTAGTTTTTAAGTAGTATTTTGAAAATAGTAGGTAGTGCTAAAACTTACTGTGTCAATTGCTATGCTGTGTGTACAGTATTAGTCTGTTGGGCTCGTATAACAGAATGCTACAGACTGCATGGCTTAAACAATAGGAATTGATTTTCTTGCAGTTCTGGAGACTAGGATCCTAATAAGGTCACTTTCTGGTGAGGGCTCTTCCTGTTTTGTAGGCCTTCTTGCTGAGTTCTCACATGGCAGAAAGAGAGAGCATGCAAGAGGCTCTCTTGTGTTTCTTTTATAAGAACACTAAACCTATCAGATCAAAGCCATCCTACTGACTTCATTTAACGTAATTACTTCCTTAGAGGCCATCTCAAATACAGCCATACTGAGGGTTAGAGCTTCAACATGTGAATTTAGGAACATAAACAGTCCATAGCACTGTGTAACAAACTATCCAAAGTTAGTGGCTTAAACAACAAAAATATGTTTCTCAAGATTCTGTGTGCGGTTTGACAGTTTTGTGATCTGGGCTGGTTCGGTTATGACTGGATGTTCTGAGTTGCCGACTCATGTGTCTAGAGCTTGACTGGAGAGGTGTAGCTTCTCCCCAGGTGGTATCTCATCCTTTGGAGCCCAGCCAGGCTTCTGTACTTGGTTAGTCAAGGTTCCAGTAGCAAGGAGCACTTTCAAAGCTCTGCTGTGTATATTTGCTAATGTTTCTTTTTTTTTCTTTTTTTTTTGCAAGGCTTTGATAATGTTTCATATCAAAGCCAAGTCACATAGCAAGTCACATAGCCAGTCACATAGCCAAGGCCAGATTCAAGGATTGAAGAGATACATATCTTTTGTGAAAGAGGATTAATCACATTACAATGGGTATGCATATGGGATGAAAAGAATTTGTGGCCATTTTATAATTTATTTTATCTGTTTGTTTGAATTAAAAATACTAAGGGTTTGCCGAGCGCGTGGCTCGTGGCTTATCCTAGCACTCTGGAGGCAGGCGGGTGATTTCTGATCGAGGTTAAAACCAGCCTGAGCAAAGCGAGACCCTGTCTCTATATAAAAGAAAGAAATTAATGGACAACTAAAATATATAGAAAAATTACCAACATGGTGGTGCACGCCTGTAGTCCCAGCTATCGGAGGCTGAGCAGTAGGGATATTCTTAGCCCAGAGAATGAGGGTTGCTGTGAGCTAGGCTGAGCCACAGCATACTCTAGCCTGGGCAACAATCCGAGACTCTGTTCAAAAAAAAAGATACTAGGGTTTAATAAAGGAATATTGATCATTAGAAGGGAAGTATTAGAGATAAAACAGTTGATCAGAATGTTAAATCAAGAGTTTTTTTTTTTTGCATATCTCAACAGCTCTTTTCTTTTTTGTTGCTTCATCCTTAGGCCTGATAGTGAGATTGATCAGTGTTGCGTACAGGCCCGAGGAAGATTAAGCCATTTCAATTCTTTTGGCTTCCTTTTAGCCCATAAAAACCAATTTGCTCAGTAATTATACATGTATTAACAATGTAATCATTTATGCATGCTCAATGAATCTTTTACTTAATTCATTATTAAACTGTCATACTTGGATTCCTTATATAATTCTAATATTTCCCTGCGCAGATCTATCATTTCGTCCTTATATACATTTATTAAACACTGTGGAAGGTGCTGAAACAAAACTGAGCAAGCCATTCTTCACTTACAATTAACCATAGTCTAGAGGGGTAACACACAAAGGAAAATCAAATATACACAACAAATGGGTGTAGTGACTCATGCCTATAATCCAGTTAGACTAGGAGGCTGGTGGAGGATCATTTAGGCCAGGTTCAAGATGACATGGGCAACATAATGAGACCTTGTCTCTAAAAAAATGAAAAACGTTAGCCAGATGTGGTGGCATGTGCCTATAGTCCCAACTACTTCAAGGCGGAGGCAGGGATCACTTGAGCCTAGGAGTTCAAAGGTTGCAGTGAGCTGTGATCATGCCATCCAAGTATGTATAAGGGGGTTCATTGGATATAGAGAAAACACTTGGAAAAGATTGAATTTTTCAGCTGGAAATATTGGTCAGATCTAAAGCATGTTGTTTGGGCTGGAATCCTCTGACGGAAAAAGTTCACAGTTAAGTTGGGATACAAGGGGAATGACATTTACAAGATAGTTATGAGTTTAGACAAGAAGCACGAGGGATTCATTTTTTTGTCGAAATAAATCTGAAGATTGGGCAGGCATGGGTGGCTCATGCCTTAATCCCTAGCCTTGAAGGCGGCCGAGGTGGGAGGATCGCTTCAGCTCAGAGTTTTGAGACTCTCCTTGAGACAAAGTGTGGAGACCGATGTCTCTACAATAAAAATAGAAAAAATAGGGCAGTGCGGATAGGTGCCTGTGGCCTGTATCCAGCACTTGGGGAGGCTGAGGTAGGAGGGTCTCTGGAGCCCAGGAGTTTGAGGTTGCCGTGAGCTAGGCTGACGCCACAGCACTCTAACCCAGGCAACAGAGTGAGACTCTGCCTCAAAAATAAATAAATAAATAAATAAATAAATAAATAAATAAATAAATAAATAAATAAAATAATTAAAAAGAAATCTTAAGATTTTGAAAAATGTCCTGAAGGTAATAGGGAACTCTTTCAAAGGATTTCCATCAAGAATATAAAATTAACTGGGTCTGTGTTTAATATTTTAGAAAGCTCATTCTGGCTTATAAGTTTGGAGAGGGCTCAGGGTAGAGGCAGAGTTTTTGTCTTTTTAAAATGGAAAAATTTTGAGCATATTTCTATGTGGAAGAAGGAAGTTAAGAAAGAGGGAGAGATAATACAATCAAGAGAGGGGCTTATGATGGTGGAACAGTTCTCTTCTGGTGAGATAAAGGTTGGGACAGGCGAAAAAATTAGTCTTGGTAATGGGGAATATTTTATTTTTTGACACTAGAGGGCAGGAACAAAGAATAAATAGCTAAAGATTTGGAAAATTCTTAGACACTCAGTTAAAGGAATTTTTTTTTGTTTGTTTTCTTGGTGAGGAGGCAAGGTCATTGACAGAGAGGGAAAGAGATTGAGGTGGAGGTGAAGGGTTTGAAGTGATAAGTAAACTCGGAATACTGATGCCAGACTAATCTGTGAAACATGCCTTTTTTCCATCTTTGGTATTCTTGACTGCTATTACCTACTTTTCCTGTTTTCTTCACTATTTTGTTTGGT